GCTAGTTGCTTTAGGCGCGTCTTTAATAATTTAATTTTCTTAAACTCGGGTGTGCATTTCATGCGACCCAAATCCAAATCCTAAAACATCAAATAAAATATGTTTCGGATTGTGGGTGCATTTCATGTGACACAGTCCAAAGATATATTTTAAGCGATGTTCACATTCTTGTAAAAACAATAATAATAAAGCGGTTAAAAGATAAATTTGCACATAAGTTCATATTGTATTAAAAATCAGATAAATAAGCCAAATATAACAGTTGAGCGACCGTGCTATAACCACAGAACTCGGGAATGCCTAACACCTTCTCCCGGGTTAACAGAATTCCTTATCTAGATTTCTGGTACGCAGACTGTAATATAGAGTCATTATTTTCCTCGATTCGGGATTAAAATTGGTGACTTGGGACACCCTAAATCTCCCAAGTGGCGACTCTGAAATAAATAAATAAATCCCGTTTTGATTGTCCTTTAATTGGAAAAAACTCCCCCTGCGCCCCCTCGGGTGCGAAAAAAGGAGGTGTGACAACAGGTACAGGAGATGTGGGAGAAAGTGTTTGGGATGAAGATGAACTATTTTGGATAAATAGTGACTCTGAAGGTGAATCCACATGTATGATACCAGGACTCATAGGAGTCCTGTTGGCATTTAGTGTTTGAGTTGATTTGAATAGAAATATATCATCCTTAAAGATAATATCTCTGCATATGAAGAACACTTTGCGTGATAGGCTATTTAACTTGTATCCCTTCTGTATGCTAGAATATCCCATATGTACTGCTGCTTTAGATCTTGGGCCAAATTTATCTCCATTGGTCCCAGTGTTTGTTGCATAACATAAGCTTCCTATTACTCTTAAATGACTCAAATTGGGTTTTCTGCCAAAGAAAACTTCAAATGGGGATTTATCCCCCAATACTGGAGATGGTAGTCTATTCATGACATACACAACATTAACAACACAAATACCTCAAAATCGTAAAGGCGGCCCTGTTTGAAATCTGAGTGCCCTGACCACTTCAAGTATATGTCTGTGTTTTCGTTTGACTACTCCATTTTGCTGCGGAGTATGAACACAAGAACTCTGGTGTATGATTCCTGCATTACTGAACAAAGCTTTTCAGAAAGAATTAAAAAACTCAGTTCCATTATCACTCCTAAAAACCTTTATTGATGCATTAAACTGAGTTTGTACAAGTAGCAGAAATTCCTTAAGAACAGTACTAACATCACTTTTCAGATGTAATAGGAATACCCATACCATTCTACTACAATCATCCACCAAAGTAAGAAAGTATCTGCAACCATCAAAAGTAGGGACCCTATATGGACCCCAAACATCTGCATGTACCAAGTCAAAAGGCTTTGCAGCTCTACTATTACTTATGGGAAAGGGGATCCTTGTTTGCTTAGCTAGAGGACAAATAGTACAAGCCTTGTTGTTATTCATGCCACTTCTAACTAGAGAGAGTTGTTTTAATATCCTTCCTGAGATGCCCTAGTCTTATATGCCATAGCTTTTCCTCATCATGTACTGTTAGGAACACTGAAGGGACAGTTGGTGATGTCCTTTTATTCTTTGAGTGCCAGTGATACAGATCCTCTTCCATTTTACCAATCCCCTTCACCTTCCCATTGTGAAGGTCCTGCATTAGACAAAAATCAGGATAGAATGCCACAAGGAATCTCAACTCCCTTGTCAACTTTGCTACTGATAACAAATTGAATTTGAATTCAGGGACACATAAAACATTGTGTATGCTTCCTTGTAACAGTTCAGAACTACCTGTGTGAGTAATGGGAACTCTACTACCATTAGGTAATAGCACCTTTTGATTCTCACGTTTAGTTACTGTAGATAACATATCACTGTCTCCCACCATATGATTCGTGGCACCACTATCTACAATCCACTTATCATTCCTATCATTAGGAGTAGAGGGAGTAACAATACCTGCTACATTAGCTGTTGGTTCTGTCTCATTATTGTTACCTTTGTTTAGCATCTTCAAAATTTAATTATACTGTTCCTGTGTGAATATCATGGGTGCTGGTATTGCATTCATGCTTGTTGCTCCTTGACCTGCAAAAACATTATTCATTATACCTTGACCCTGATCAAAAACTTGATTGACATCATTAGTGAGGTTTGAATCACGATGTTCTCCACCAGAAAACCATCCATGTTTATTAGTGTTATATCCTTGATTGTAAACTCCAGGACCATAATTCCCAGGATAATACTGGCCAGGGATCACATTAGTGTTTTGGTCTAGTTGTTTACCGAATGACTTCACATTGTTCGCAGATGGCCCATTTTTTTTTCTTCCTTTATAGTTTGGGGGGTAACCAATCAAGTGATAACAATTCTCCCTGGTGTGACCTTTTAGTTTGCAATGTTCACAGAATAAATTGAAGTTTCTTTTCTGTTTCTGTTGTCCACCTTTTGCACTCCATAAGGCTGTAATGTCATTCCCTTATACTATGGAATTAACTCCAGATGTTGGTGTCAATTGACTCTCCCTTTCAATGATCATTGCATATGCTTGATTCAAGGTTGGTTCTGTTGTCTTCATGATAATTTGACGCCTCGCCTGATCATATGAGTCGTTTAATCCACTGAGAAACTGAAGTAACCGTTGTTGTAAAAAATGCTCTACATTCTCCTTGGATTTTAGACAACCACAGTTCGGGGAAGGTATCATTGCGTCATATTCTGCCCATAGCTCTTTCAGCCTTGTGAAATACATAGAAACAGAGTCTGTTCCTTGAGAAATTGTCGCAATTTCTCGATGTAACTGAAATATACGCACCCTGTTTACCTTGTCAAAACGCTCTCTCAGATCTTCCCGTACAAGATGCGCATCAGATGCATAAACAATTCCACTAAACAAATGCGGCGCAACTGTGTTCATTATCCACGAAAGGACTATCGCATTACACGTTTCCCCGTGCTCATGGAATTCAACATCAAATAATTCCTTTCTACAAGTTCCAGTAATAAAACCTAATTTTCATTTGGCTTGGAGTGCTATACGCATCGACTTCTGCAATAATCCATATTTCTCCGATCCTTTGAGATGGATCGGAATTAGAACTGAACCCGGAGTGTCCGATGGATGCACAAAAAGTGGATGCGTGTGATCGATATTTGATTCCTATAGCTGCTACTCTCGTTCCTTCTTCATTCACCATTTCAGTTGAATTGGGCAGAAATTAGAAAACCCTAGCTTTGTGAATTGAGAGTTTGGAATGATTCCTTCACGATTTTGTAGGAAATCGGAGGTGCAATGAGCTTTGAGATTTAGACGAGTTGTGAGTAAAATCTCGATCGATTCTCACTGCTCTGATACCATGTTAAGAGCTTGAGAACTCTGTTAATGGCGGAAGAGAAAAATAGAGAGAACGAGAGAGAAGAAGAAGATTCTGGAAAAGAAAATATTATTTCCACTCACTGACTTCACAACCCACTGTACATTGTCTTATACTAAAATAATTGACTTTTAAATTACTATTGCTAACACTAACTAACTAACTAATTATGACAGCTCAACATCCCTCAACAAGGATATATGAATGAGATCTTTCCACTTTTAATTAAAATTCTCTATTTCGAAGAGTGAGAATAAAGAAATTCCTTGTAGGAGATATTCCCCTTTAATAAATTCTACATAACATAAATTCTATCAAATATTGCACATTTTAAAAAAGAAGTCATGTCATACTGATACAAATTTTTTCTTCTTTCCCGCGAGAATTTGTGCGAAGAAAAGAAGAGAAATGAAAGAAGAAGAGAGGAAGGAAGGAAAAAAAAAGATCCTTCTCCACCTATCGCATTCTAATGCTTTGTCTTCTACTATTTTCCTTCTATTTTCTTAATACAGCTCTCCCAAGAACTAATTAAGGGCTTGATTGTTTGAGATTTTAGTTCTGTCACAAAATCTAGTTACAATGTAATGAAATCTAATTTTAGTGACCTCCTAATTATGGTTATTCAGTTACATTGTCTCTATAATAAAATAAAAGTAATACAATAAAATGTAAATAAGAAGAGATAGAAAGAAGGGAGAAGTGTTTTCTTCTTTCACTTTGGTGNACATCTGCATAACCAATCAATGATGGCTTGTTTGAATAAAATAAACCCATATCAATGGTCCATTGGAGGTATCTGAATATATGTTTAATACCA